ACATACTTCTGTTCAGCTGTTTTCTGTTCCGGCAAGTTCTGTCAGAATCGCTGGTGTTTGAAAAGATACTGAAAAGTAGAAAAATGTCAAATCAACCACTTTAAGTTCAGGCTTTTAAAGATGAAACTCTGAATGCCTTCGAATGGCTTGCATTAAAAATAACACTTTTCACTTTCTTCCTTTGCTCGCTGTCGGAAAAACTCCCCCCCAAAAAAACATCTTTTTGAGTTACATGATGAAGCCGATATGAAAGAAGATTTACAAGGTCACTGTGTGTGAAAATGTTCAAATAATCTCACACACTAAAGTCATAGACACAAGCTGTTTGACTTTTCTTACAGGGTACAACAAGTGACCTGTAGTAACTCTATAGTATACGTTAAAAAAATACTGCCAGTGTTTTAATTTATGTTAAAATTGTGGTTTTTATGTCAGTCAGGTTGTGTAGTTACCACATTATTATCTCCAGTCTATGTTAATGCTGGGGTTTCCAGCTTTGAAGAAAGTTACACTGTACAGGTGACCTCAGCATTAACATGATCGCCTACACGAACACCAACACACACTTTTTTCTTTTGGTCTGTACCCTCCTACAATCATCAGCTTACCTTAACGATTAGTGAATCCATCCACTAAGTGTTGTATTTGGAGTGTTTTTTGCACACTCTGAGGTCTGATCGTGAAAAATTGATCATGGACTCTTCTTTATCTTGGATCTTGCCGTGAGCAAACAGACTGACTCCACTTTGAGGCATGTGAAGTGATTGCAACTCAAAAATTGCATGCAAAACATGAGTTCTACAAGTTATGGCATGCACATGACACATATGTGTCACACGAGTTGTGTTAAATCATGAGCCCATGTTGCTAAAAGTGGTTTTGCATGTCACAAAGTTGATGTAGTGTGCACCACAGTGAGGCTATGTAACAGGAACAAAGGTTTCAGAACATGTCGGTGAAGCTCATCAGAGATAGAGATTTTAGATATTTATTAGTGGTGGGAGAAAAAGTTGATACAGCATAGTATCGTGATATCTTGTCAGGTAATATATCGTATTGTCTCATTTACCAAATATCGATTTTTCAAATTAATTGCTAATATGAAGTCAAATCTATGATAATGGAAAAAAAAATCAACTGTTTGTCCAGTGAGGTTGGCAGAGGTGACATCATAGAGCAGGAGAAAATTAGTGCAACAAATATATATATGTACAGTTTGCGAGATGTGCTACATGAAAATAAAATACAGCGTAAATACGACAAACATAAAGGAAAGACAAATGCTAAATCAGCTGAACAGTTGAAAATTTTTTATAAATTGCAACATATGGTATCGCAATACTCACTGTATTTCAAAATGTTAAAAATCGCAATGATATTGTATCGTGGCCAAAGTATCGTGATAATATCATATCGTGGGGTTACTAGTCTATTCCTACAGCTCCTGTGAAGAGATTTGAACTGGTTATCAAAGGACTCAAATAAGTACTGACCCTGACTTACAACAGCAAACTAGCTAATCAGAGAGAACACTAATAACTTCAATTAATCTTTATTTATGCAGCACCAACACATGTAAAAATGCGTAACAAAAAAGAGCAGGTCTAGACGTTGTGTTGTACGGCCTAACATCAGGATAGGACTTAATTTTCCAGAGATAGAGGAAGATGCAGAAAGAGAGGTAGGGGGAAGTGCAGAAAGTGCACCATAAGAGCTCATGCAGACTTATGCTTACAGTCATGATACTAATAATAAAAGTGTGCGCACTATTTGCAGGAACTTATGTCATATGCATGTCACCCCTGCCTGAGGTCAGTATCAGACTGAGTGATCAACACCGCTGAAAATCTTAAAAATTTTTTTTTTTTAAATTTCACACAGTAAGATTCATGTGAGTTGCACGCTTGACAAGACGGACAAAATGTCCTAGTGAGAAGACATTACCTGCACGTTTTCAGGACAAGATCATCAGAGAGATAATTCACTCTGCATTTTCCACCGAGGACACCAAAGTTAACACGACTTAAACTTCTTTAAGGGCTTTGACATAACAATGCTTAGATATTTGATTTGAAAAGTGCAACTCAAAGAGCAGATTTAGACATTTTAACCGAGATCAAAACCTGAACTAGAATTTTAAAGTTGACATTTCTGTCTTCATTGAGCTCTACTTTTATTACGCTTTACTTTGACAAATGAAGTGATTGAATGTGTCTGGGCATATACTCAAGTACCTGGACTTTCTCCTAAATATAAATCTGTCTTTTAATCATCACAAAACAGTTACTGTTTTTGTTTTTTTTTTTCTTGCTGGGAAAAAAAAACTGGGAAAAGAGTTTTTTAAATCTGTGATTGACTATGGTGAAAAGCTTTAAAAGCATACTACTTCATCCTCTCTGAAAACAGACCCAGGGCATCACTGCGAGGTTTTTCTGCGTACACATCATTGTGTCTTGTATAGAGCAGTGATTCTCAACTGGTGGGTCCCGACTCAAAAGTGGGTCGCGGCCACATTCTGGATGGGTCGTGAACAGCTGGTCAAAAAAGTAAATAGTTAATAGGCATCTGATGTTTGACATGTCTTTTATTTTGAAAAATAGCTTATTTTAAAATGCACGCATTATGTCATGGTCCTCCTCGGTTTCCTATTAATGTTGCCTGAATGCAGTAAAATTATGTTTTTATATGGTCTTTATTTTGTGCAATCTGATATTGATTCACTTTTGTCCATGCCGTTGCACAGTCCTCCTCAGGTTCTTCTGAATATGCTCTGAATGCAGAGACGAAAATAAGTCACATTTTTCATTTTACTGGTCTCTATTTTGTGCAGTTTGATATTTGACATTTTCTGTATATGCAACTTTAGTGATATATCCTCAGTTCATGTGCTCTGAAATGCACTTTAATCAATAAAAACAGTGTATTTATGTTAAAAATTTGAGACTTTAAAGGTTGTGTTTTGTGAAAAATAGGTTTTCTTGGTTTGAATTTTATAAAAGTGGGTCGCGACTTAAGGACCATGGGAAAATGTGGGTCCCAGAGTGAGACCACTTGAGAACCACTGGTATAGAACACTGGCATTGCTACATGAACTGCCTCCTTATTTATGTTCCTCACTGACTCCTAAATCTATCAGCAGCTGTAACTTTCAGACTCATGGACAAGTTCTGTCTCATTCCTCGGACTTGCACTGTCTCTGGCAAAAGTGCGTCTCATGTTTCTGCACCATACTCCTGGTCTGAGCTACAAGTTCACCTAAGACTGGATCATTTTTGAAAAAAAAATGACACTTTTGTTACCATGTTTAGCAACATGATGCTAAATGAATCTAATATTTTTGCCTCAGTGTTGAAAAGTTTAAGGAAAATGTGTCAAAACTTTTGCCAACACTTTGATATCTATCTCTACCTACCTATCTCTAAAACCCATTACAAATACATGTATAATGAGTTATAATCACATAATAGCACTGTGAAACTATAGTTATAAACACTCATAAATGATCATAATGCTCTATAGCAATAATCATAACACATCATAAAGCATTTTATCATGACTTACAAGGTCAGGTATTATAATGTATTATAACTTTTAACATATCACTGACAATGCTCACATAGATAATGCATTATACATATATTTATGATGTGTTATAATTTGCTTATAAACTTGTATAATTGTCATTATAAACACTCATTTATTATCATAAGGCTTTATAACAATAAGCATAACAGAAGTACAGAAGTGTTACCAAACTTTTTTCCAGTGTTGATTTGATTTGACATTTGTAATCTGTCTCTGTCTTTGTTCTTGTTAGTAAGAGTTATCACGATTGATTATTTCACACAACAAAGTGAACCAGCCGTTCTTGCTGATGGTCTTGCTTGCTTTTTTGAGTTACAGTCTTTCGTCTTCTTAAACCAGCTAAGAACCCCCTGCAGGAGTTTAAAGTGACCCTACCTCCATCAAACAGTGTTCCCTATCCTGTCTGTCTGTGTGTGCGTGAGCAGTTGTATAAGCGGCTCGTCAGTGGTCGTGTTTGCGGTTACATGCGAGTGTGTGCGTTGGTGTTTTGGGGTTGGATGACATAACAAAGAGCAGAAAATGAGCTTTTCAGCCTACAAGGTTCATACCTGGTATGTTTGTGTGTGTATGTGGTGGGTAGGTGGGTGGATAGGTAGGTGAGGCTGTGAGGTGTTTAGAGGGTTCCCTGAACCTCATTGTTTGTCGCCGTCTTTCTTCCTGTTTCGTTCTCTCTCACTTCCTGTCAGCTGACTCAGCTGGAGAATCTTGATCCACCTTTGAACAAAAGCTCTCTCTAACTCTTTCACTCTGTATCACACCGATTGAAGACACAAACACACACAAAGTAGGATTTTAGAGATAAAGCATGAATTTCTCACATATACACATCTGCTGTCAAATATTTGTTCCCAGGTTAAATTAAAATATGTAAATCTTATAAAAGGAGGGCTTATTCAAGCAAATAAAAAAGAAATTAAACTTTTTAAAGAGTGTCTCAATCCTGAGCCCATGAGGAAAAATGTTAGAAATAAAAGGAACTACAAATAAAGAACTACAAAAAAGGAGAAGAGCATTAAAAGAGGGGGTGGGACACTAGAAATAAAACTTTTCTGTGCAGTTAAAAGTCGGAAGGATCTAAACAGATAAAAAGTAAGCAAACAACAGAGGAAGAAAGGCAGAAAGAAAACAATGTAGGGTACATGGTGAGACAAAGAAGAAGAGAGATAAAGACGGGCACAGAGACGGAAAGACAGACAGAGAGATGGAGGGAGGGGGGGCAGAGAAAGAGAGAGAGATAAAGATAGCTGAAAGGAGGGAGATCCGTCAGCGTTTGTTTCCTCAGGATGTGGTTACCACGACGACGACAAGTCAGAGCGGCAACATCACTACCCGCTGGTCCCTTCTGACACCTGCAAGTGTGTGTATGAGAGTGTGAAAGTCAGTGTGTGTGTCTATGTGTGTGTGTGTGTGTGTGTGTGTACGTGTGTTTCAGCAGTAATTGGATGAGTATCTTCTATGTGTGGGCTCATGCGGTGTGTATATCATGGTTGTGCGTTTGTCCATTTTGCCTAGGTATGTGTGACAGCATAACTGTATTTGTGTGTATGCGTGTGTGTGTATGAAAGAGAGAGAGAGAAAGGGAGAGAGAGAAAGAGAAAGAGAGAGAGAGTGTGTGTGTGTGTGTGTTTGCAGATGAGAGAGACAGATAGGAAGAACTGTGTGACACGCTGAAAATGTGATCGGGGAAATTATCAGACGAGCATGAGACAGTGAAGAGTGAAAAAGCTTAAAAACACAGAGGGAAAAGATGAAGACAATAAGAAGAACAACCAGGACCCAAAAACATGAGCAACAGAGGACCTACATATGTGAGAAGGAAATCGGGCGCCTATGACTGGTAAAAAAAAGATAGAAAAACCCACAAAACATCTACAGAGTATTTGTCTCTTGAGTTCATCTCTGCTCGTCCTTCGTTCTTTCTCTTTCTGACTCACTCACTCATTGTCCTATTTAAAGCAGAATGTGGTTTTGAGTTAGAAAGAAAGAAAAACCTACATAGACTTAGCAGCATATCGCATCTACATCTATATGATGCCTTGAAATGTTGTTTTTATCTGAAAGGGATGAGAATAAAGTAAGTTTGTGAACCAGGCTTGTGGAAAAAGCAAAGCTAACGTAGCTTCGTGTTTTCTAGCATGGTTGGTTTCTCTTTTGCTAATTTCCCGCAGTTTTACTTCAGCTTATGTGTTTAATAACTTACGGCTGACTTTATTACTGACCTGACTTTTTGTGTTTGAGGATATTAGAAACAAATGGCATCTGGGAACACAAGGGTTAAGAGGCGAAAGGATCGTAACCTTTTTGTGGCAATGAAACCAGAAACTTTCAATATGTGTAGAGTACAAAATTAGCTATCCGTGTCCTAATGATGGACTCCGTAACTTTGATTCATATGTTCAAGCATAGTAAAATCACCTCTGTGAGCTAGATACCACAGAGGCAACACATCTGGTAACAGTTTTCTAGCTTTGAGCTAAAGTTTCACATTTTGTCATCGAACTTCTTTTACAAAAGTGTTTGATATTTTCTTCACTCATGCTAACAGTTTGTCTCCTTCTGTTCCAGGCACTCTAGTCGTACTCGGAAAGCTGTTATGGACAACTATTCCTCAACCCAACCTTTCCACAACCACCACCACCATTTTCACCCAGCCTTACCCAGCCTTCAGAGCCCTGATGTGGGATATCTACCCTCTCAACATACCCTGGATGTTCCTTTGTCACAATATGGAAGTACATGTAGAGACGAAGAACCCAAAACCTCTTTTGCGACTTCTTCTGGTGGAAAAAGGGGGAGCAGCAGCAGCAGTGATGAAAGAAGCTTACTGAATGCAAGCGGGGGTACTTTGGATGGGCATGCTAACTTGAGAGGGCATTTCAATGACGAGAGTGTAAGAGGAAACCATTTTGCGAATGATGGTTTCTATCCCTTGAATTGTAGCGCAGAAGAAAACATAGCAAACTATAGTGGCTTCGGTAGCTGTGGAGCCAAGTTTGAGACCGTTTACAACAGAGAAGACAGCGTTAGCTGTTTTATCAAGCAAACTTCCTACAACAAAAGTGCAACTGGGAGCTTAAATGATGGATGTGGAAGTTACTGTAGGACTGATTCAATGCTAAATAATGATTATCTAGATAAAGACAGGGATTATGGGTCCAGCTGTGGCTCAGGTGAAGATCAACAACAAGCAGCAGAGGATGAAGGACCTTGGTTAAGTGTCTCTCCTTCAGATCAGACCGGAAGGTGGAGAGGAGCAGCAGCAGCAGACGCCATCACTTCCCACTGCCCACCTGAAAGATCAGCTGTCAACATGAGCAGCGGGATACACATTCAGAAACTGGACTCTTTCTCTGAGGCCTTTCTCTCCCAGCGAAAGAGAAGTTTCCCCGTTATCCTCGGCGGGGACTCCTCTCAGCAGATTTGGCACTCTGGAGAAAGACAAGGCGAAAGACACAGCTGTGCTTTTGATTCAGACTCGTACCCACCCCCCTCTTCTTCCTCGTCACCCCCAGCTCACCTCTCTCTTCCATCTTTCCCCTCTCCTCCTACATCTTCTCACCTCATGTCATCCGTTCTTAGCCCCCCTCCTACACCTCTACCTCCGCCTTCCCTTTCCCCCTTGAAAATGGACTCTCCAGTTACATTCGGAGGCACCGGACATTCACTGTCCCAGATGGGAGAACCACTTGGACCGCTACAGATTTTTGCTTCCCGAATCCAGTCTCTACCATCCGTCCATTCTCCTGGGATGATATGGAAGTTTGCTTTGCCGTCACGCTGCTTTAAACAGTCATATGGGGACCTGAACAATATGGAAGGAACCTTGAGATCATCTCATGGCCGAGACTACAGCAACATCACAGGTTAGCTAAATGTACACTTTTCTGAGAGATAGTGAAGGATTTTATAATTTTAAAAGAAGTGATATAAAGGGTTAATAATTTGATTGAAGATGACCAAAGAGTTTTGTAATTCTTTCAAAAGAGAAAAAGGAAGCACATTGTACAATCACATGATGAAGAAGATTGTAAATGAACTTTATTTTCCCTCTACAAACACTCATTGGTTTATGACCACATGTAAATTTACGGGACATGTGGGTTTTTCTGAGTGAGCTTTTGACATCTGCAATTTCCTTCATGCAAATAACACTGTACTTTTCACACTTTGAACCAACTCTAATGGCGGAAAAATGTGTAGCAAACAGATTCAAAATGACTCTCAAACTTACTACACTCTCTGATTCCTGCAGGCTCCAACAACATACCCCAGTCTCCAGATTCATCAGTCCCCTCTTCCTCCTCAGGCCGGTCACCCCTCCACCCAGTCAAAACTCTCTGTCCCGCTAACGCAGCATCCCCCATTTCCTCCCCCCATGCTGCCTCTCATTCATCTCATAGTACTCGCCAACATTACGAGGGAGCTGAAATGTTAACCTTCCACGTGTCGGACCAGAAAATAAAGAATGGACTGACTAGTGTCAAGCAATCACAGGTAGGAAAATGCTGCTTCCTCTATTTTTTTGTCACTGCAGGATACAATTTCAATTTTATCTCAGAAAATAAGCTGCTTCCTCTCATATTTCCTCTTTTTGAATTGATGTCAATGTTAATGTCAGCTTTATTTTTATTGCACATTTAAAACAGCCAGTGGCCTACAAACGTGTTTTACAGTAAAATAGGCAGGACCAATAAAAAACAAGAAAAGCATTATATAAAAACGTAAAACAACAATATACATAAATAACAAATAAAAAAAAGACCCAATAAAAGTAACTATACTACCCCAAAGGCTTAAGTGAACAGGTGCGTCTTTAGAAGTGTTTTAAAAGTGGAAAGTCCCCCCTTACGACAAATTACTATGAGTGCCAAGTTTCTTAAAGAAGAACCTTGGCAATCATTAGCCTGCTAGGTGCGCAGCCTTCTCTAGCTAGCATGCTGTAATTTTAGCCTTGCCTGAATTTTAAATGCTGTTGAAAAAAATTTCTTTGACTGCTTTTTGTTTGTTTGTTTACTCTGCTTAACAATTCTGATGACTAAGCTAGTTTTGGTGCAAGCTAGCAAGACGCTAATTCATTAGAAAACAGTAAAAAGAGAACAGAGAAAAAAAAGTATGTAAATATGGGAATTTCTTGCTTTTCATGGATAATAGGATGATTTAGAGTTTTGATGGAGGAAATTAAAATCAATATGAAGATTATTGGGTCTTAAACAGTTTTCTGTCTTTTAGCATTCTTATGCTGTTTCCTCTCATATTTACTCTTTCTGAATTCATGACAAATTACTATGAGTGCCAATTTTATTAAAGAAGAACTTTGGCACTTATTAGCCTGCCAGGTGCATAGCCTTCTCTAGCTAGCATGCTGTAATTTTAGCCATGCCTGATTTTCAAATACTGTTGAAAAAAAAATTCTTTGACTGCTTTTCGCATGTTTGTTTACTCTGCTTAACAATTCCAATGACTTAGCTAGTTTTGGTGCAAGGTAGCAAGACGCTAATTCATTAGAAAACAGAGCAAAAAAGAAAGAACAGAGGAAAAAAAAAGGTATATAAAAATCAGAATTTCTTGTTTTCCACGGATAGGAGGATAATTTATGGTGATGATGAAGGACATTAAAATCTATAAAAAGTTTATTGGGTCTTAAACAGTTTTCTGTCTTTTAGCATTCTTATGCTGTTTCCTCTCACATTTCCTCTTTCTGAATTCATGACAAATTTCTATGAGTGCCAAGTTTCTTAAAGAAGAACTTGGCACTTATTAGCCTGCTAGGTGCATAGCCTTCTCTAGCTAGCATGCTGTAATTTTAGCCGTGCATGAATTTCAAATACTGTTGAAAAAAAAATTCTTTGACTGCTTTTCGCATGTTTGTTTACTCTGCTTAACAATTCCAATGACTTAGCTAGTTTTGGTGCAAGGTAGCAAGACGCTAATTCATTAGAAAACAGAATAAAAGGGGGGGGGGGGGGGGGTAGTTAAAGGTGCTGTGAGGAACTTTTAGTCTCTGTTGACTTTGGCGCCCCCTGTGGACAAACTGGTAACTCCTGTTATTGAGGATTTTATCTGAAAGCGTTAACTGACCAAAAAAAACACCCTTTTATTGTCTTTTTACAATTAAATATATGACCCATCTTGAATATTTTGCTATTGTAATGTAACTACAGCTGTTTTTTTAGCGTACCTATCCCCTTACAGCACTTATAAGCATTAAAAATGACACCATAGACATTGTCAATTTTTTCATCATTGGTCCCATTAGCTTTTGTACATCATAGAGTTGCATTACTGTTCATTTAAGCCCATTTCAATAGTTAAAAACTCCTCACAGGAGCTTTAAATAGGGTAATTTCTTATTTCCCTCAGATAGAAGGATAATTTTGAGTTTTGATAGAGGAAATTAAAATCAGTACGGACATTTTTGGATCTTAAACAATTTTCTGTCTTTTAGCTTTCTCAGTAAAAGTCAGGAAGAGCTTTTATCTCAGTAGATTTTTCATTTAGTGTCAATAAGAAGTACCCCAGTTTTACTCAGGAGTAATTTCAAATTCAACATGAAAACTTTAACCTCAACATTAAAACATGATAACAGCCCACATTTTTAGTGTGGTGTTGCCAGGTTTGTGCATTGACGTCACTCCTCTATCAGCAAAACAACATGAGACTGAGGAGCCAGAAGGAAACACTCACCACAGCGGGGGAAGCTGCGCAGAAGTAGTGGGCGAACACATACATTGTTGTTTGTCAAGAAGTTACACTCGTCTCAACTGCGTTGCTGCTTCTTTAACCACAGATTGAGTTCAGGGGTTTTATTTTTAGACATGTTAGAGGGGTTCAGTGTGTAAATGACACAGATTTAGGGTTTTTTTCACCCAGACTGAATATGTCAGGAACAAAAATCTGTTTTAGGTTAATTAATAGTTCAATTGAAAAAGCACACTTTTTTAGCTACCTGTGCAGATGCTTTCAAACCCTCAAAAAGATTTAGGTAAATTCATGATAATATAATACTAAAATGTACACATTATATTTTGTAATTCTAGATATGGTTTTGACTGTGTTTATTCTGAAAAAGAGGACACGACAACACTGTAAAGACTCTTTTTTTGTGTGTTTTTACAGCAACAAGCCCCCAAAACCTACACTGGGACCCCATTTTCCAGTATCCTTCAATCCAGCAGGGGTCAGAAGAGGGGCCCGTACACTCCACGACCCCAACTCAATCCTGTACGCACAGGAAGGGGCCTGTACTCCTGCATCTCTTCTCTCCATCACAGAGAAGAGAAAACAGCATGGAAAGAGGAGAACAATGATTGTGGTGTTTTACCGTAAGTAGAAAGTTTCTCTTTGTAATTTAATTTTGTGTCTGTGAGGAATATTAAAAGGACAAAAGCTCTTAAAACCAGTTCATAATGTGTCAGTTCAGTCATATCAAAGTTATTTGTAGATATGAATTTTTTCCATTTTTCTTCTTAACTTGCAGGCACATCAATATTGGTCAAGATTTCCAGGCAGAACTTCCTCCATGTTTGGATGGCCATGAATCACCAGAAGAGGAATCTTCAAGGGAGCAGCTGCTCTGGAAACCATGGGGCAGGCTGGAGGAGAGTCCTGACATCCAACACCAAGGTACATTTCATAATAAGCTGGCCAACAATACTCAGTGCACATTTAACATCACGAAATTAACCTATAATAATCAGTTTCATTGACTTGAAAAAAAATCTGCTTATGTTTTGTGTATATGTAGTGGAGAGGCTGTTGTCTGTGTGCAGTTCTAGCTGCTTACCAGGAGGGGGCAATAACACAGAGCTGGCTCTGCACTGTCTGCACCACTGTCAGGGCGATGTAAAGGTAAGCTGTGACGAGTAATATTAATGCTGCCTTTCTTTATGTATTTTTAATCAATCTTTTTTCATCATGCGTTCATCCCTCTCACCATTCCTTTCATCCACATGACTTACTTGCATGCACCGTGACTCAACTCCTCATTATCTTTGTCATTTCTTTCCTTTTTTTTCTTTCTTCCTCTTTTTCTTTTTTGTCTGTTTTTTTTTAGATCACTCATAGTCAGTTAATTCTCTTCTTCAGTACCATTGCATGCCTCATCTACCTGTTCTCTACCTCCTCCGTCCCTCTCTTCTGTCCAGGCCACGCTGGAGATGCTGCTGTTCTCCCAGCTAATACCAACAGAGGACTACCACTACTCTGGTAACCTTTGACCTTTGACCTCACGCCAGAAAGTGAAGTCTTATGTAATGTACTGTATATGTTACATTAAGTGAAATCTGGTGTTTCTTAGCAACAGTCTGCAACCTACTGAACGGTTGTCATTGTATGAGTCAGCAAGGTTCCCACTGTATGTACAATAGTATCCTTTGTTGAGGCCTAAAGCTCCAGCCACTTTAACCCCCCCAACACACACACACACGCGCACACACACACACACGCACACACACACTCCTAGATTCTCTTTCTTTCTCACATTCTCTGCCTCTCAGTTTCATTTTGAGTCATTAAATCCACGTGAAGCTCAGAGCAGGCTATGTTCTGTCCATTGAGGTATGTGTATTTTTGGATACTGTTGCTGTATGACTGTGCCTGACTTTGCATTGCAGGACAGCTGGTGCTGGTTTTATTCTTTCTCATCTTCTACTGTCCCCCCTTTCTCTGCAGGTAGTGATTCGTGGACAGACAGTGAGAAGAATATCTTCAGTGCAGCGCTGGAAACTCATGGAAAAGACTTCTCATGCATTCACAAACTGGTACTACGATTATTCATACATTGCTTGTTCTTTGTGCTGCATTCTTTGAGCGATTAGTCTACCCTTGTTTTCCTTTTCTAATCTGTCTTTGCTCCAGCATTCAAGTGACACCAAATTAATCTACTGGAAATGCACAAATATTCCAGCACATCACATATAAGGGGCGTAGTATTTTACCTCAGGTGTTGTGTATTATCCTTACATGCACCTTCGCTTTTTGTTGACTCTGCATACACTCAATGTGAGCGTATTGACACATCTAAAAGCAAAGACATAAATGTGTTTTATCTTGGGTAAATACACTTTCTTGCAGCCACTCTCATCTACTTTAGCAAGCACAGATGGTGACCTTCCTCTTTCATTACAGTCACCAGAAGTGGCATTTACTCCACATCTTCCTCTGCAGTCTATAATTGTAGCGGCTGTATCGTCAAAGTGCAAGTAAACGCCTTCAGATTTAATGGTAAAGCTGATTAGATTTGGAGGATAGCTGTGTTTAAGTGCAACTGCATGTCTTAAACTGATGTTAGGGTTGAGGTTAAAACACTCTCGGGTTGACTCTTGAATGCTAACTTTTCACTTGAAGGATCTGAGGAGGTGCCAGTTTTTGGGAGAAATCTTGAATGTAAACACTAACCCTGCCACCAGTTTTCCCTCCTCTCCTCTCCTGCTCTTCCCCAACAAGCCCCGCCCACAAACAGACACTCGTCCTCGCTTGTATCGTTTAAATAAAATTCAGATATAATGCAGATAAATATTTCAGATAATTACAAATGGGGCCCAGTCAACGTGAAAATAAAAAGCACTGGTGCTACTGTAGATGCCAACAGACTACCAGCAAACACAATGTTTTCAGGACTTCTACAATTAGGATAAAGTGACATAGTCCAGGACCCGAGGATTCAGACATTCTTCTGTAGTTTCTGGTTGGTTTCGACTGTCCGATAGTCGCACGCTAACTTTGTTTGGGCTCGTAAACGATATGGAGAAGCAGCGCCTGCCTCACAGCCAATCAGCACTAAGGAGCAGTGTTCGCCTCACAACCAATCAGGTTGGGGGAGGCAGAGAATGGCTTTGTTTACAGTCAGAAAGAGCGGGCCACTCAAAAAATTTGAAATGTTGACTACACAGACATAACAAAACACACCAACATCGTGATATTCCCAAATGTCATCAATAACTAACAGCTATTAACTGATATTAAAAGCTTTTTGGAACATACATCACAAAAAAAAGATGCTTCTTTAACAGAATCCTGCCTACCCCACCTTTAAGTGTTTGTGTTTGGATATGTCCACACACAGGTGAAGACGAAGACTGTGTTCCAGTGTGTTGAGTTCTACTACCTGAGCAAGAAGCTCCTCGACAAGCAGAGGAAACAGAAAGAGGAGGAGATCAGAAACGAGGCGGAGCAGCAGAAAAGTGTAAGAAACGCCAAAATATCAGATTCAGAGTGAGAGTTAAAATCTTTTTCTCCTGTGGTAAAATGTCCCGGCTTTACTAAGAAGTCATGAGGTTTGCTTAAGTGTGTCTCTGACCATCCTTTTGATATCATTCTTGCTCTTCCTGTTATTATCACTCTCCTGTAGACCAACATACAATGAGAACGTGAGCTCTTGCAGTATTTGTGTTGTTGTCTGCACTGAGTTAAATAGTTATCCAATGTGGAATGCAGCTTAACAAGTTGCGCACCACAAAGAGGCTTACCATTGGTCCTGCTTTCGTAGATAACGCCCATCTGTCAGCCAGTGGACAGACAGTTTGGTTTGAAGGAGGCAGTTCCTGCGCCCTCATTGGCCAGCTTCTTTCCCTGCAAGCTGTGTGGCAAGTGAGTACAACCAGTCTCATAAACTAAGAGTGGCTTCAGGGCAAACAAACAGATGGTTTAGATTTCCATGTCTCTATCTTTGTTCCAGGATGTTCTACAAAATCAAGTCCCGCAACGCTCACATGAAGATCCACAGGCAGCCTCAGGAAGACTGGACCGACAGGCAGCTTCAGCAACAGATCCTCACCCAGCATTTGGTCCTTGGTCGTCCCAACAACCTCATGCACACCCTGGGGAGTGATCTACTCCAGTCTCAGGCTCCAGCTCTGGCCTTTGACCCCTCTGGCCTTCCTGGAGCGTCTAACAACAGCAACACTGCAGACAATGTCCCCAACTCTTCACTTGACAGCAGCGCCATCTCTCTCAGCAATGCTAGTATGCTAAATCCACGCACTTTGATAACATACAGCAATATTCCTGCTCCAAACGCTCATGTGATCACAAATACTGATGACAGTGACTCACATCAAAGACAGCCTGCCTCTGTCTTACCTTTCCAACAGTCATGGGGTTCATACGGACACAGCACTAACTCTGCTACCTTTTACAACAGCACAGAAGGGAAGGAAAGTGTAGATGCTGTGAAAGTGGAGGGGAAACAGCCCATTAACTGGCAGTAGTGTTGAACTCTCAGTGAGCTACAGCTAAGGTCAGAGACTTTTAGAAGCTTGTTCTGTAATTCAAACTAAGTTCCTGTTCAAACTTCAGCTTTTTATAAACTTATTTTTGTATGAAAGTGTATTTTTGTACCACTCCAATTTCATAAGAGATAGCAGACTGTGTAAAATGTTCTCAAAACCAGATTTAGATAGTTTACAAATTATTTAAACCCAACATTTGACTGAAAATAGTGCAAAGATGAACATAAAAATGTTACTATTATTTGGATAACATGCTAGAAATACATTTTAAAACAGATGGAGCGTTGTCTACTGACAACACTCTGCAGATGTTTGGGAACCAGAAAAAACAGTTTCTGGGTTTTTTATCAGGGAAACATGGAGTCCTGTTGGTGCCTGGATTTTGTACTCAACACTTTAGAATCTACTTTATCAAACTTTTTGTGTCATAATGCTCCAAATGCTTGTAATAAGTGACAGCTTTGGACTGCAGGCAGGCCAAAGTAGCACCTGGACACCTCTACTACAGAGCCATGCTGTTATGATGCATGAAAAATGTTGGCATGATCTGCATGGCAGCATACGTTTCTCCAGCAAACTTTTTAGCATGAATGGTACTCTTACAGATGTTTCAGCCTAAATACCGATGCTATTGGCTCTTATTCATCTCCATGCCATCAGAGATCCTGGTTTTGAGGTGTGGACTGATAAAAATTTGAATGGTCCCTGAAGTCTTTAGAGCAGAAGATAAGACATTCATGATTTCCAAAATAAATGCAAATTATTTTTTTCATCTGACCACAGGAAAGTTTCCCACTTCACTTCAGTCCATCTGAGATTAGGCCCAGAGAAGTTTGTGGTGTTTCTGGATGGGTGCAGCTATAAACTGAGTTTGCAGGCGATGGTTTTGGGGAGTGATTTTAGCCCATGTAGTGATTTCCACTCAAGAGTCATATCTGTTTTTAATAGAAGGACACCTGTACAGTGATTTCTCCTGATTCATAACCAATTATGTTACTGACCTGCTGCAAATTAACCTTATTATTCAAGAGATGTTTGTATAGCATTGCGAAACCTTGGAAGTGTTTTGTTGCTCCTGTCCCAACTGTTTTGAAACATGTTGGTCTCATCAAATTTAGAATGGCCAGATTCGTATTTTTTTTCAGTTTCAATTATTAGTTTGTTGTCTTTGCACTATATTTAATTAGATGTAGGCTTTAAATGATTTGCAGATCATAAGATCTGCTTTTATGATAATTGTAATTTGAAGCTGTATGCTTTGTAAAATGTGAGCCATTGTAAATTGTATACTTCATTGTGTTGCATATTTAATTGCAATATACATTTGACTTCTGAATTAAAGTTGTAGTTGATGTTTCTGACAATAGTCACACGTCTGTCTGTAAGTTCCTGCAGCGACAACATCTTGACTGAACCTGGCCAGCTGTTTCTGCCTAAACAAAGGCAAACTAAGCTAAGCCAACCCAAACTAACTATCTCTGTGATTATCATAAAATAGATTACACTCAGAACTATAATCTGTGCCAAAAACAATTTGGATGCCTTCAGGTGTTTCAACTGTTTTTACAACAACCAACCAACCAACCAAATGTTTGTCCAAAACCCCAATTTGAAGTACTTGAAAAAAATTGAATGGAAACTGTTTGATTGGTAATAGTTGGCAACCCAAACTGGTGCAAATCTATGTATTTTTGACATTGTGCAGGAGTCATGCATGGGTCCCAGTTTATAGCCAAGTCAAAAAAGGCTGGATGTCCCTGTTTGCTTGAATCTTGAATTTTTATTTGTATACAAGTCTATATTTCTTCCTTTGGCAAAGATATATTTCTTCATTTGGGCCCTCACTTAGCCCCAGAATATTTCAGAAATGGATATATATATTTAAATTTTTACATTATAAAGCAACAACTACTTTTACCTGCAGGAACACAATTCAAATACTATAAAATCTGGGATATGGAAGTTGCACTGGTGTGTAAAACACAGTCTGTTTTTTGGGTGTCTGAGAGAGAAAAAGATTTAAACTGTGATCCTGAGTAAAGGCTGACATTTCGTCCCATAACATCCAGCCTAAGCATATGAATAACTCTTTTTTTATATTATTTATTGCCATCCTGCCAAGTATCCATATGGTAGCTTAAGCACAGCCATGGATGGACTATTAGTTTCTTTAAATGGTAATAATCAAGGAGAAAAAAGCATTAAAAAGAGGTCCCACTAGACTGGTCTACCTTGCTTTGTATCCAGTGGTTGGTTGTTTTTCCAGCACCGTTGTCTGGGTAAAATACTGGTTGCACAGGTGTAAGAGAGACGGCGTACTTTCTTGACAACTTAACTATGTTTAAATGTTTCTTATGCACCAAATTTTACAGCATCAGGCTTTAACGCCATTCCCATCCCTTATTTAGGATTTTTGAGGGGCAGCTAATCAAATCTTGAAAGGGGGCCTAAGCCACCCCTGACTACCCCTCTAGACGCACCACTGTTCATAGACAAAGAATCAGGAACCTGACCTGCATGAAGATTTTGTGGGATAGAAAACAGACTGAATTTCCAGAGAAGCAACTTTTAATTCATGGAAAAAGAATTGGAAAGGAAGTGTATTTTTAGAGACACTTACACATCTACCCAGACAGACACACACACATACACACTTAGCTTGATGACAGGTATTAATGTGACAACATAATGGGCTGGCACTGATCCTAGCAGACCATCTCACTTACTGTTGTCCCGTCTGTCCGGTCAAATAGTGCCAAAAAAGTGACCTGTTGATGGTTAACAACAGGGACGCTGTGTTTGTATGTGTTCTTGTCACCAAGTCCTCAAAGATGCTTGAAAAGACTTTTTACGAACATGTGTTTAAGTTGTGTGCACGCTAACTATCCAAGCTAAAGTCAAAACCATTAAAAAGAAACACGCAGGGACAGTCGTACTTCTGCCTAAAGCAGCAAAATGCTACCTTTAGATCAGTGTCCTTGAGGAGGTATTGGTTAATTTTCTTACTAGAAACTAGAAAATCCACTACTGATTAGATCAGTTATTTACATGTCTGTTTAGGGGCCAAGGTGCGTTCACAGTGCGGTGAGTATTCTTTGGTGCCATATCGTCATGAGTGTTACTGCCACCATAATACTGATAAGAGTGTTTGTAAAGATATGTAAAGAGCATGTATGTCTGGTCATGTTTATATAAGAAGCTACATGCCCTTTGAGGTGTCCAAGAGTTAAAAAGTGTGATATAGCATGGTTTGATTATCTGTGAATGCATAGGAATTAGTTTTGCTTGAGTTATTTTCTGTTTATTTGCTGTTTATCTCAGTGTGTGTTTCTATATTAAATTGAGTATTGCTTGTAAATTGGTCCTACCCTAGTGCAAAAGTCCAACCTGTCTAGTACAGATTATCTGCCCCATTTTCTTTGTTTTACAACTGTTTGTCTTCACCTCCCACTTATGTAATTAAGATACTGAGCTGTTTTTGATAAATAAATATGCTGGAGCTCAGCCATATTGTCACATGTTAAATTACTATTGAGGTGGTTTCTTTCTTCTAAATTTTTTCTTAATTATAACATTTATTTAAGTTCTTAAATAAAATATAACGATCTTTATTTTTATAAGTGCATTTTGCACTATCTTTGTCTGTGATGCTGCTGTGACAAAAAAAAATTCTCCCATGGGGGATCAAAAAGGAATATTCTATTCTATTCTAGTCACACTGATGTCCCAGTGAGCAGTATTGAATAATAGTAAAAGCTTGTGCTTTTATCAAAAAGTTTGAATCATGCTTTAAGCAGGGAGAAATCAGATCAGTAGTCCTTTTAGAGATGGGGAGAGAGAGAGCACAAGCATGTAGAAAAAGGGGGAGAGGGAGACTAGACCAATGGGGTGAGGGTAAGAGGGAGAGAATAAACAGAGGACTTACTGAGCAGTGGCCATTCACCTATTCATGCGGAGCAGCACTTTGCCAGTTGACTGAGCTCTTGTGCTCACCAAAGCTCATCCCCACGTCCACTCATTTATTTCCCGAAGAAGACGCTGTAAACAAAAGCGGCAGTTACAGGCATGTGATTTGTTGACAATAAGTGTGCCAATCAAGATGATTGAAAGAACAAAAATTGAGTAATAAATACCTAAAAGTATACCAGTGCCAAAATTTTACATCTAAAAAATGTTGAAAAGTCACCCTTACAACATTGTAGTAGTAATCTGATGAAAAATAAAAATAAAGATAACATACATTTTTGGGGAAAGAAAATAAAAACAATTGGTTGTGCTATGTCTTCAAATGACTGATGCCTGAAAAGTGCACATTAATTTTTTTTATTGGTTTACTGCAGCGTTTGCACTTCATTACTCATTTTTTAAAAAGAAAGAAAGTCATAAATAAAGATTTACCAACATTCAGTAAATGGTAAACAAGCTCACTAAGATATCAAGAAAAACCATGGAGTGCTTAGCAAACTTAAGATTTACAAAGCTATTAAGAAAGGAAAATTTCTCCTCATAGGTGGCATAAGATGATGAGATATGATACCTCCCGAAAAGTGAAGCCAGAAGATTCAGAGCTAACCGGCTGCAGTAAGGATCATTAACCACATGCCCCTCGTTTTAACAGATACTGCAAGATTTAAACCATTAACTGGTCATGAAAAGCACCTGAAAATGTCTTATTTTCCTCCACTCACATCATAACTGGGGGAGCTCTCTTGCACCTCAGATTAAAATTGATTGATTTAAATCCTTGAATTGATAAAGATCCCTGAAATTAGGATAGTAGAAGACAGTGTGTTGCTTTTACGCAGACACATATGGCTGAAGAAAGTTCAGTGACTCCTGTGTTTTTATGTTTTCTCTTGCTATTAGTGCTGACTGAACACTGTGCACATATTTCTTAAAAATTACTGTCAAATTATGTCAGACATTTGGACTTGCCTTGACAGGAAAACCACAGATGTGTCCTACGAAATAATGGGAGAGTAACAAAGCTGTTTACTCAACTCACAGATATCTCACGCCCCATTGAAAACCCAAACTTTAATCTGGATCTGCCATCACAAAGGAGTGTTTTTGCTCTCATAAAGAACAAAACATTGCTCAAAGTCTGTCAAAGTACAACAGTGTCTTTGCTGACCTTGCAAAAATGGCAAAGTCTGACACAATGATTTACTCCCTTTTTACCTTTAAAGGGCTTGTAAAGGAAACTGTGTCTACCCTCCTCTATCTTCTATCTACCGAGAAAAAAAAGTTGAGAAAGAACTTGTTTTACTGAAGTTGAAAAGTGATAGTAAAATCTCAAGTTTTTATAACTCACATGATAATATACATAGGCGTTGTCTGCTATCACAAGCACAGTTGGAGGTTGGAATCTGTTACGTAATAGTTGGCACGGTCTTTACATGCTGTGGTCAAGCTGGTTTAAGTTTAAATCGCTGTCCCCTCATTATTTGATATCATGTTTTGGAGAAAGTTGATACAAGGACTTGTGCTTTTAGCTGATGCCAGTGTAACATAAATAGCTGTTAAAATGCACAGAAGCCCCTATAGATGTTTCCTTGGCTGGCTTATCTACATTTCAAGTAATGCATGCTTAAAGATTTCATATGCCTTGATTTAGTCACAAAGAAATGTAAGCTTTTTTATCCAGGGGCAAAATTTTCATGCTTCAGAACTGTGTCATCGATGTATACTTTGCTACTGCTCCCTATGAAGGTGAAAGGTCACTGTGATGATAAATATTGAACCCTGCCAAACAGGCTGTAATATTTGTGCACCCTTGTGTGTGTACAAAGTGACAACAGAGTTAACACTTAGAGTCAGTTAAACAGAGAGGGAGCCTCATAAAAATTCTTTTGACTAGCTCCAATGTGGCATGGCTACTCCAGCAGCTATGGTGGTGATGTGATGTAACACTCTGGCACGCTGACATTGGCCCACTTGGCATTTCTGAGAGGACTCGCTCTGCTCCGCTGCAAAGAGGTAGAGTGAGAAACTATGAGAGTGTGGTTTTGATCACAACCTTTAAGAAACTGCCTAAGGACTAACAGAAGATGAGACAGCCAGTGTAAAACAGATGGGGGTGGGAGAGGGGGAGTAAACACAGGTATGGGTTATTTGAATTGATCAGGATTCACAGATTTTTTTGCAGCTTGGGTATATTTCTCTTGGGAACGTCACAGACAGTCTTTATCTTCAACAGATAAGAGAACACACAAGAGTTGAGAAAGAATCATAAACATACCTGTGCCCCATCTCTGTCTGCGATTGTGTCTGTTAGAGATACGGAACTAAAGTCATGCGCAACAACATGTTTCATTTAATGATTTACAGCAAAGTTCCACACTGGATTTCACTTAAATATGGGTAGGATTAAGTGTCAGGGATTTCCAAATGCAGATGCATGCGTGTAAATTGTACGGTTCTTGAAATAAAAACACAGTAGTCCATTGTATTGCTTTACAAAGGAGGACTACAAAGCACCATTCTGAGAGCCTGTAATCAAATCCTTCCCTTTCCAACTGTATTCTACTGCAGAGCTTTTCTTCCTTTCACTCTCAGCACCACAACTGATTTTCAAAATGTTTTCTCTTTCGGTCGCTTTCTTTAGTTCATGTTCTACTTTTTGGAATTTGTTAAGGACTTTACGCATTGAAAACAACCATATTTGTTTGTGATGAAGTTCTTGCAAATTAAAATATGAAAGGTATGCAAAGTTGAATTTGAAGCATATTAGTGTTTTGGATCTGCATTACATTTTTCTTGCAGTTCGTAATCAATTACAGCAGACATTTTGACTTGTTATATAAGTGACAATCTGATCCCAGTCACACCAAACCTGCATCAACTCAGATTACTCTCTTAGACATACAGAAGGCTATTACCACGATAGAGAATTCCCTCAAAAGCATTTACCTGTTTTCACATCCAGCAAACAATGAATAAAATTAGCATTTACTAGCAGTTGTGTCTACACCTGGCAAGTTCAATATTTACATTTCTTTTAACTGTTTTTGTCTTTAGCTGCCCCTAGGCCATATACCTGGCTCTGTAGCGTCCTGAATTTGGTGTGAATGGGTTAAAACCTGGAGTTTTATTTATTTTCCCTGGTATTATGTTATGTTATGCAGATGACACCCAATTTTATTTACTCATTTGACCGAATAAGCACCCTGGACCCTCAGCCCTCAATAAATGCCTGGAGGATATTAGGGTATGGATGGCTAACAACTTCCTACAGTTAAATGATGGTAAAGCTGAGATCATAGTTTCCATCCCACAAAGTCCCCCAACAACACCGTCCTGCAGTCTCTCAGTCACCTCTCAGAACATGTAACACTACATGCAAAGAATCTTGGAGAAGTGTTTGATAATAACCTAAAATTCAGCTCAGGATCATATCCAAAATCAGACCATTTCTGTCATATAAAGATTTGGAGAAAGTCATCCATGCCCTGATATCCTCCAGGCTCGATTACTATAATTCCCTGTACTTTGGTACCAACCAGTCATCGATACCACGACTACTGCAGCACGATTGCTCTGCAGACATAAAAAAGAGATCTCATCACACCTATACTAGCATCACTGCACTGGCTTCCCATTCAATTTAGAATATCCAACAAAGATTCTACTGTTTGTATATAAGGCTTACCACAACACTGCCCCCAGCTACATCACTGGACTAATATCACCATACAACACAGCAAGGCCCCTCAGATCATCACATGAAGGTCTTCTCACTGTACCATGGTCACACAAAAAAACTTTTAGAGACAGGGCCTTTTAGTCGCTGCACCGAGGCTGTAGAACAACCTTCCATTACACATCAGATCTGCTGGCTCTCTGGACTGTTTCAAAAAACTCCTATAGGCTCACCTTTACTCTCTTGCCTTCTCATAACCTGATTTCTCATCTGAGTTAAGTTCTTACCCATTTTGCTATCCTGCCCTCTGTGTAAAGTATATATGTATATTTTTATCTTATCATCAAGTGTGTTTTTTAAATGATCTGATTTTTATCAGTCTATTCCAAATCTTCCTGTTGTAAAGCACTTTGGCTCAAACTTGGTTTGTTTTTTTAAAGTGCTCTATAAATAAAGTTGACTTGGCTTGACTTGACTACAAGAGGTTTTAAGCAGTTGATTTGGTTTGGGAGAGGGGAAATATTTACATGGACTTGTAATTCATTTTGCAAACATTCTAAACCCTTTATGTTTACTTGCAGTTTTTTTTAGCATTTCTACAGGCTATTCCTAGGAAACTGTTTCCCTGATGCTGTAAAAAAATGCAACATGACAATGTTATAACGAGCTTCCGTGCTATTTCTACTTATTGCTTTAACATTTGAGCAAAGTAAATGGCCATTTCTGTATTGGAATAATTAAAATAGCTAAAATTGGCTGCAAAGTGCAGTAACGGGGAGGTATTTATGGTGGCCGAGAACCGCCACTGCTGCAAATACAAAAAAATGCAAAAAACAAACAAACAAACAAACAAACAAACAAACAAACAAACAAACAAACAAACAAAAACAAAACAACAACAACAACAAAAACGCCACTGCTGCAAAAAAAGAAGGCAAAAAAAAAGTCACAACGGAAGTTACCAAGTAAAAGAAAAAAAAAAACACTGGTGCATCATCATTAGTGGTCCCCGGCAGCTCACTTCTGTTGTTGGTTTTTTATTTGCACCCTTTTATTTTCGCAGAAAGTAACTTTTTTTTTTGTGTCGTTAACTTCTGTTGTGGCTTTTTTAAAATCTGCACTGTTTCTTTTTTTTTTTTTTTTTGGAGCAGGCTTCGGTTTCTTTTTTTTTTTTTTTTTGCATCTGTAACTTCTGTTGTGACCAAACCACCGTAGCTTTGGTTTGGGAGAGAGGAAATATTTACAGGGACCTGTAATTCATGTTTACTTGTAGTTTTTTAAATTATTATTATTATTATTATTATTATTATTATTATTATTATTATTTTATCATTGCTACAGGCTATTCCTAGGATACTGTTTCTAGGACACAGTGTAAAATGCAACATGACAATGTTATAACAAGCTTCTGTGCTTTTTCCACTTAATGCTTCGACATTTCAGCAAAGTAAATGGCCATTTCTGATTTAGAGTAATTCAATAAGCTGAATTTGACCGCAAAGTGCTGTAACGAGGAGGTATCGGCCACCATTGCTCAGAAAAACCCCTCTATCGTGTTTGTTGTGTTATCGGGTGCCCTCCACGAGTCTCGTGCTCTTTAAATCGTGCCGCTTGCTGCGTGTTGCCGTGTCCTCTCTTCTGATTGGTGCACAACTGAGGGGGAGTGCCAAGTTGCGTCATGTCAAAGAGAAGGATGAAAGCTTATGGGGAGAGAGAGGGGGAGAGATAGAGAGAGAAAGGGAGAGAGAGAGGGAGAGAGAGAGAGAGAGAGAGAGAGAGAGAGAGAGATTAACAGGGAGTAAGAGGCAGGCGCAGTAGCAGACTCCTATATCCGCCAGACGGAGACGGACGGTGCCAGCTGCTAGCTAAGTTAGCAATAGTTGACAGTTAGCAACTAGCTTCATAGTCCTAGCGCCTTTATCACATATGAGGGAGTGAGCAGGAGTGGGTTTGTGTACGCCTGCGTGTGTGACAGTGCGCGTGTCGACGTCTAGGTGCCCGCTTGGCCGTCCCTAAGTCACTTCGCGTGCTTGTGTGTAGCCTACCTACCTGTGTGTGCGTGCGCGCGCGTGAGTTTGTGTATATATAAACCCCCCCTACCTATCTCCTTCCTCTTCCGAGCTGCAGTGCATGTGTGTGTTTGTGTGAGGTTAGAAAGCAGAGACACAGACACACAAGTATAAACACAATCTGATAGTCGACAGTTACACTCGGTGTCCGGTTACTTGACAGCGGATTCACAGCGTTTACAGTCACCGACACAGCACCAGCATGTGAGTACTGATGGAGAAAAAGCGTGTGCGGACGAGTGGTCCGGTGGTGTGGGTGTGCATGTGGCTGTCATTGCATGCATTTGTCCACTTTTCCTGCTCCTCGTGAGCTTCTTATTAGCTCCATGTGTAACCTGACTTGCATGTGTGCATTTAACGTGGACAGAAGTTGGTTGAGTTGCACTGTCACGGCTGCACAGTTGCTCAAAGAACAACCAAACTCTATAGAAAAGTTGTTTGGATAGTTAGCACCGACTTGTCAAGTGAAGTAGTGTGCTAACCTAGCCGAGTAAGCTTAGTTATGTCAAAT